GCTTGGACTATCTCACTGGCCTTGTCTTTTATGTTCATAGGGTTTTTTTTTTTTCTAAATATGTCTGAGGAACCCTCTATACCTTACTATAGGTAAAAATTTCCATAACGGATCAAAGACTCAAACATAAGACCACAAACTGTGAAACTGTTAGAAGAAAATGGAATATTCAGGACATTCGTTTAGACAACTGATTTTTGGGTATGAGTTCAATACATGGGTCACAAAAGAAATGGTCAAATGGGATCATGTTTAATTAGAAAGCTTCCATGTAGCAAAGGAAATAATTAACAGAATGAAGAGATGTCTGCCATGGGGATAATGTCTGTGCAAAGTATTCATCCAATATATAAGAAGCTCAAGCTATTATAGCAAAGTTATATAACAGAATCAGATTTAAATTGTGCAAATAGCCTTACAGGCTTCTTTGTTTTTGTGTGTAGTTGTTTTAAGCAGGGTATGACTGGAAACTTCTTATGTAGACAAGGTTGGCCTCAAATTCAAAGATACACCTGCCTCTACTTTCCAAGTGCTGAGATTAAAGGCATGTACCACCACTCCTGCTCTGAATAGATATTCCTTTAAAAAATGATCTGTGTGGTACTGGCCAGGCCTTTAATCCCACCACTGGGAGGGGTTGTAGAAGAAGGTGGATTTCTTCAAACTCAAGGCCAACAGATATGTGGGGGAAAAAAGCACAATCACATTGCAAGGGGAATAAAAATTCAAAATACAAATGTCATCTCACCCCAGTCTGAAAGGCTATTGTAAGAGAAAAGAAAAAAAGACAAAACAAAATAATTGTGGCCAGGCAGCCGGGCGATGGCAGTGGTGCACGCCTTTAATCCCAGCACTCAGGAGGCAGAGGGAGCCAGATCTCTGTGAGTTCAAGACGAGCCTGGTCTACAAGAGCTAGTTCCAGTACAGGCTCCAAAGCTAAGCAGGGAAACCCTGTCTCAAAAAGAAAAAAAAAAATTACAGCCAGGCATGGTGGTGCATGCTCGAGAGGCACAGAGGCAGGCAGAGCTCTGTGAGTTCAAGGCCAGCCACGGATACACAGAGAAACCCTGTGTCAAAAAACAAAACTAAAAACAACAACAACAACAAAAATCCCTCATTTACAATGCTGGCAAGGATACAGGGAAAGGGACTTGTTTTGGTCACTTTTCTCATTGCTGTGAGAAATACCAACAAGAAGCAAGTTTTGGGAGAAAGGGTGGACTGTGACTCACAGTTGGAAGAGACGTAGTTCATCATGGTAGGGCAGGCATGGCAGCAGGAGCAGGAGGCTTATTGGCTAGTCACACTGCATGCACAGTCAGGTAGCAGAAACTGATGAGTGTTTTTGCATAGTAGCTTTTTCTCTTCAATGTGATCCAGGACCTCAGCCAATGGAATGGTGAAGCCCATATCTAATGTGGGTTTTCCATCACAGTTAATCTAATCTATATCCTTCATATACTATTTGTTGTTGTTGTTGTTTTTCAAGACAGGGTTTCTCTGTGTACCTTTGGAGACTATCCTGGCACTTGCTCTGTAGACCAGGCTGGCCTAGAACTCACAGAGACCCGCCTGCCTCTGCCTCCAGAGTGCTGGGATTAAAGGCATGCGCCACTACCATCCGGCCCTTTCATACACTGTTGATAGGAATATAAAACCATATAGACATTATGTGAGTCTACATAAGTATGGAGGTTCCTCAAAAAAGTAGTAGTACAATCCTAAGGCCCAGCAAGTCCATGACAAGGGTCTAGACAAAGAAACTGAAGTCTTTTGAACAGACATCTGCACTGGGATGCTTATTATTATACTATTAACTAAATCCAAGATGTGGAATTAAGTTAGGGGTTCACCAGTGGATGAATGGACAATGAAAACATGGTGTAACCAAGTGAAGGGGTGCACACCTGCTATCTCTGCCACTTGGCAGGTGGAGGCAGTTGGATCAAGAGTTCAAGGTCACCCATCGGTACAAGGAGAGTTTGTGACCAGCCTAGGCCATTTGAGTCACTATCTAAAAAAACAAAACAAAAGGAATACTGTTCAGCCATAAAAGGATTACACTTGTGTCATTTGAAATAACATGAGACAAACTGGAAGTGAAACAAACGAGGCACACAATGGTTAATACCATGTGTTCTCATTCATACACAAGCTAAGAAGCTGACCTGAAGGAACACAGAGCCAGGGCAGGCATGGTGGCACATGTGGCCTTAGTCCTAGCATTTGGGAAGCAGAGGCAAACAGATCTCTATGAGATCAAAGACATCTGGGACTAGAAACCCTGTTTTGAAAAGCCAAAAACAAAACAAAATGTACAGAAGTACAGAGCCAGGTTTGGTTGGTGTATTCCTGTCATTGCAGCTACTTAGTTTAATGGAGGAAGAGGATTGCAAGTTCAAGGCCTGTCTGATCTTGAGTTCAATGCCGGAAAGGGCAAGTTACTGAAACCTTGTCTTCAAATAAAAAGAGAATGACTTAGCAGACTGGGGCAGGATAGTTGCAAGTTTAAGACCAGCCTAGGATACAGAGTGACTTCGAAGTTAACCTGTCATACTTAGTGAAAATGTGTCTGAAATTTGTGTAAAAAGAGGGGGACTGGAGATAATGGCTCAGCAGTCAGCAGCATACACGGCTTTCCCAGAGGGCTTGAGTTCAGTAACTAGTACCCATGCCAGGCATCTCACAACGACCCGGGACTTCTGATGCCTCTGAAGGCACCTACACTCTGTGCACATTAGTCTTCCCTCAGTAAGCATAATTAAAAACAATGACTCTTAGCTGGTCGGTGGTGGTACACTCCGGAGGCAAAGGCAGGTGGATCTCGGTGAGTTCCAGACCAGCATGGTCTACAAAAGTTAGTTCCAGGACAGTCTCCAAAGTTACATAGAGAAACCCTGCCTTGAAATACCCTCCAAAAAGCCGCCCCCCCCCCACTGGAGATATGGCTCAGAGTTTAAGACCACTGACTGCTCTTCCAGAGGCCTGAGTTCAATTCCCAACAACCACATGGTGGCTCACAACCATCCGTTATGAGATCTGGTGCCCTCTTCTAGTGTGCAAGCATGCATGCAGATAACTGTATACATCATAAATACATCATAAATAAATAAAAAAATCTTTAAAAAATAAGAGGAGCTAGAGAATTGTAGTGGTTAAGAGCACTTGTTACTCTTTTAGAGGACCTAGGTTCAGTTCTAGGTTTTGCCACCATACCTGGCCTTAAAATTCTTCTGTTCTTATAGATAAGAACACAAATATAGAGGCCTGGCAGTGGTGACCCAGACCTTTAATCCCAACACTTGGGAGGCAGAGTCAGGTGAATCTCTGAGTTTGAGGCTAGCCTGATCTACAGAACAAGCTCCAAGACAGCCAGGGCAGTGAAACCCTGTCTCAGACAACCAAAAACCAAAGAAAACCAAAACCAAAAACACAGATATAATACATATGTATGCATACAAAGTTAGAATCCATATTATTGCTGTATGTACATTCCCCACTGTCAGTTTTTGCTAACCTGACTAAACCCAGACATACTTAGCAAAAAAGGACAATCTCAGTTGAGGATTTGAGTCCAGCACAGTGGTCTATAATTGGGGCAGGAGAGACCAGCCCACCGTAGGTCTGGGCTGTAGACGAAAGCAAGCCGGTAAGCAGCTGAACTCTTCAGTTTCTCCTTCCAGAAACTGCCTTTGCCTGCATAGATGATGAACTGTAAAATGTAAGATGAAATAAACCCTTTTTTCTCCTAGTCGGTTTTGGTGATTGTTTTATCATGGCAACAGAAAAGCAAACCAGAACACAATACCAATAATTGTCTGGAAGAGCTCTCATATTTTTCTCTCTGTAGCCTGTCCTAGAACTTCTTTGTAGACCACGTTGGCCAGGAACTCAGAGTTCAGCCTTCCTCTGCTTCTCAAGTGCTGGTATTAAAAGCATGCATCACCACTGCCTGGCTGAGTTCACACACTTTAACCTCAACTGTCAAAACAAGAGTGCACCGTTTGTTTTCAGCACAGGGCAAACAGATGCTAAGCGTCCAGTGGAGGTAAGAATCATCCAGGCGTGCCTATCACCTAAGTAACAGAGTCAAGCGCATTCTCAGAAAGACTTTACAAAAGGGTGACCAAGAAGTTGTGTTAGTCTAGTAGGTCATTTAAGAATAATGAAAATTAAAAAAAAAAAGAAATTTAACAAGGGAAAAGCTACGGGGAAGCCCTGGTATGCAGTAATCGTTAATGGAGAGCCACGGGGGGTGCAGGTGTCTGGGCATGTGTTTAGAGTCTAGGATAGGGACCTGTGTTCTACAGGAGATAATGACCATGGACCAGCCCGCAGGCTCACTGCGGTTTTCGAGTCAATGAAGTTCAATAAAGCTCAAGCGAGCTTCAAAGCAATGACTACGTTAATATTTCTTCTAGCATGCTCAATGAAGAGCTCATCCGTCAAGTGACAGAAACCCCGCAAGGGCTCGACGGACCTTGACTACCCAATGCCAAGATTCTGAAAATAGCTGTGGGGCCCTAGGAGCCCGACTACCACTGCAGGCGGGGGGCGCATGCGCGCAGACACACATGCTGACCTCCTGGTGGCACCCAGGAGAAAGCGACCTTCTTCCCGACAGCCCGCGGAAAAGACGGGTGGGGAAACGGTATTCTCGCGAGGTCTCGACTAGCGGCGGCGGAAGCATCGGACACGTGACTGTCCTAGGCCGCCTTCGCTTGCCCCCTCCCCCTTCTCGGAAACCCGGCCCCCTCACCCTTCGCCCACCCCGGAGCCGCGGTAATGGACCGGTTGGGTTCCGGAATTCTCTTGGATCCCATAACTGGTACCAGGGAAGCGGGACTTGGCGGAGTCCGGTTTTGGTGGCGAAGGCAGAGGGGGCGGTCAAGATGGGGGGGGATCAGCTTCCTTCACCT